TATATATATATATATATATATATATAGGATGAATGAAAATAATTTGATCACTTGGAATATCTGGTTTTTAATAATATCGAGAGATATCTCAGATAAAAGAGGAATATATTAGTGTTATATTACTAAGTTTCTCGATTCATAAAGGATATAAATAGAATAATATAATTTATACGAGATAATCGATATCAACTCGTCATCCTTTATAAAAAAGTAATAAGCTATTTGTGTAGGAAATTTAAAAGGTATTTTAATTTGAATTATGAAATTTCTAACTGATTTAAAACTATGTAAAATATTATATAACGTAATATTATAATATAATAAATGCAAAAGTATTCATGCATTATTTTACAAAGGAATTTATATATTTTGGAAAATCTTCTTGAGTAAATCAACCTTCAAATTTTTATAGAAATATTTTTTATAACAGGATAACAGGATAATCATTTATAATTTGCATTACATATTTTATATTATTAATTATTTAAGAAACAGAAATAATATTGAAATTTAGATTAATCTTGTTTTCTTAAAATGATATAATCCATTATGATTTACATATTTATAATATTCCACAGAATTATTATTGACTTTGATGACACAATTTATTAATTGAATTTGCATATATGAATATTTTTGACTATATACATATAGTAGTTTATTATATATTATCATAATGTAAAATGTATAATAAGTTTTATAAATACTTACATCTTATCTAATAATCTATGTAATCCAATAATAATTCTTTGATACCAACAATTTAATTTTTTCTTTTTTGTAGAGAAAATAATGCATTATAATGGTAATTTTCAAACAGTTTGTGCTACTTTGAAAAATTTATCGATAAAAATATCATTACAAGGAAGACAATCTTTGTTTTATCAGTAAAATTCAGGAATAACAAATATTCCAGTGAAAAGAATTCTTTTCTTCCTTTCTATTTATCCCATCTTTTCACCGGTAGATGATTTCATTGTTCACTTGCAAATGGTATTGTCTCGATATTATCGAACGAATTCATTGTTCGTTTTAATCCTGAAATTTTACCTAGACAATTTTCTTTGTCTCTTCTGCCATTTGCATTCAGCTGAATCGCGAATGGGGATCTACACAAAGCATAGCTAGTGCTCCTCTCGCCAAGATTTTCTTTATCTATTTTTCTAAAGCGGCTGTATTAGTCTCTGCACCAAATGACTAAATGTTTCTAGACACTTGAAATTTTACACAGTAATTAACTTTGCGTATAATTAGAATAACTCATATTTCTAAGATTTTTTTCCCTCTTGTTTGCCATTAATTCTTTCCATTTAATTAATTCGAGTTAAATATTCCAATTCTTTCATTTTTTTTCTTCTCTTTTGTGAGATATTTACTCAATTAATTATCGAATCACCAATTAGATAATAAATATACAATGGTTCACGAAAGTATTTAAATAACAGGAAAATTCATCAAATCAGAATTTTAATGAAAATTTATATATAATTTTCTCTTTTCTCAAAAGAAAAAGATATCATTATTCGAGTGATTGATAATATAATAAAAATAAGAATCAAAAATTAAAAAAATGTATATTTAAAATTTCAATTTCGCTCTTGCCCATTCCTGAAAAATTAATTTTACAGAAATTATTCTTTCTATTCTTCAATCTAAAAAAATAATCATACAATTTCGATTTTTCATCCTAATATACACAACTTATCATAATAATAATAATAATAATAATAATAAAAAAACAATCGAACAAATTCCTTAATTCTGTATCAACAAAAGTATCTCCTCTTAAGATCTATCGTCAATTTCGATTATACACAATTTTCCAGCATCTAAAAAAATTAATTTAACAGAGATTATTCCTTAAATATTTCTCTAACCATAAAAAGAAATACAATATGCACATCTCTCCTCGGATCACCTCCACCACCACCAGTAAAATTCCTCCACAGGATAAATAGTGGCGTTCGCTTAGGCGTTTCATTTATTTGCCACCTGGCGTCCTCCTCTCGTTCCTTCTCGTTGCACGAGATCCGAGTTTGCCGGAACGGAAAATTTCGTTCGTTAATTAACAATCTCGTTATCTTCGCGGACGATTGCGCAGACCGAAGCGCTCGACATTAATTTAGTGTAACGCTTCTATGGAGCACCATTTCCCCCGCTTGTTTGATTTCCACCGTCGCGATTGCCTTCTCGCGAGGAGAAGGCTTCGAAGAAAAATAATTGCGTCCGTTGGAGAGGAACCGGAAGGGTCGATATCGACCCATTAATAACCACTTGGCAAAGTGTTGGCTGCGTAACGTAAACTCCTCGGGATAAAGGGATGAAAATTAAGTTCCGTTTCGTCATTTGTTTCAACCTGTTTACTTCTCTTTCGTGCTTTTATAAGCGATCTATTTTCGTATTTTTTGCTTTTATTTTTGTTTCCCTTTTCCTTCTCTTGAATATAAGAATTTCAGTGTTTTTTAATAGGTAAGCAATTATTGTGAGTCATTAACTATGTAGTCATAGCGATTAAAGCGATGAATAAATTGTATCATAAATTGTATAATGTGTACGTGTAAAATAAGATAATAAAATATTCGATCATCTTTTTTGAGTTTTTATGGAGTGAAAAAGAAAAAATAAAAATGGTGGTTATCATCGATATTTATATCGTGTATCAATTAAATCGAAAATAAATATTTTATTTAAATCGAATTCGATTATAAATATATAATATTTGTTTATGATTTATACAGGATGATTCTCAATGCGATGACTTCAAATAACTCGTAATTTATTCACTGTAGAAAAAAAAAAAATTTGTTTTAAATAAAAATTGAATGGTTTCAATGCTGCTAATCTTTTTGTTGTTATTTTGCAATTTTTATGAAGATATAAAATCGTCTTTATTTTTTTAAATAGATTAGATGTAATATCTCTTATCGAATTTTCTGAAAAAGTATTAATAAAAACATTTAAATTTGGAATGATACAAAATGATGTTAAATAAAATAGTATCTCCCAATAATATATATTCTTTCTCTTTTATGTTCAGTTATTTCAATTTTCTATTATTTTTTTCATCAGTTATTCAAATTATTTTTCCTCAATTCTGGAAATGAATTCTTAATCAATTGAATATGTTTACATCGCTTTTTGTATCAATGATTTCAACAAATGCTCGTTTACATCGAACGAGTTAATTGCTTTTCTTTGCTTCGAGTGGCAAGTTCTTTTAATCTTATTAATCGATTTTGCGTCAAGCTTCCAAAGCAGTTTCGAAAGGAAGACAGGTGAAAGCGACACGTGGCCGACGGAAACATTTCAAACGTATTACCGCTGATTCTGCGTTTGAGCGAGCAAATTGTCCATCCGTAAATGGATTGGACGTAAATTGAGGATCTTGCAGCAAAAAAGAGGGACAGATTCATTTTTACCAACGTTAAAAAAATGAAAAGAAAAAAAGATTCTTCTGAAAAAAAAAAAAAAGGAAAATAATTACACACAATTCCTGGCTACAAAAATTAGGACAATTATTCACAATTTTCAACATTTTTTTAGGTCTTCAGTAAAATTTAATGGCTTAAATGTGGTATTCAATAATAATTTTTATTAATTATTAAAATATATATATATAGAGTTAAATAATAAAAATATTCATATGTTATCTTATAAGAAAATTTACGTATTTTTAACTGATTTTAATGAAAATTTTTGTGTAGAGTGTGTAGAATAATTTTCTCGATGAAAGTACGTGAAATCAATCTTCAAATTTTTTTCATATTTTGTATAAGAGTTACACTTATTTTTTTTTATATAATAAGCTAATAAATTGTTAAAACTTAAATATTTTATATATATTTTAATATTTTAATATTTTACTCTATCTTGTATTATTACTTCAAAAATGAAAATAATATTAAAATATCAAGAATTGATTTTATCTTTTCAGAATGATTCCATTAAAAATTATTTTATATGTAATCAATTATGATCTACATATAAATTACAATATTTTATATAAAATAAAATTATCAATATATATATTGATTTTGATAACATATTAGTTTAATATACATAAGATGCACGTTTATAATTGATTGATATTAAATTTCCAATTAAATTTCGTTTAAGTCTTCAAATTTTATTGAAAATATCAATGAATGATTTTAATTTTTTAGTCAAGGATTGTATTTTCATACAATAAATAATAGTTATTAAGTTTTTAATTTCAATTTTTTATTTCAAATTTGAAGTTGTCCTAGATTTATGCTAAAATACCAATCAAATGATCATTATACATTGATAATGAATAGATAATGAATAGTAAAACACAGTTTATCTATTTATTATTGTTTTATTTTCTTTTTTAATTAAAAATGGAAAAAAATATATTGACATTTTTCGTGAACATAAAAAAAAATAAACATTATTCTATATTCTCATTGTAAAAAAAAATACTCTTCAAAATCTGCAATAAATCGCTTATTTTTTATCCAATCCGGTACAAAACTTGCATCAAACAGAAATCTTTTTTACGTATTATATTACTCGTATATAATTAAAAAATTGTCAAAAATGGATCTGGATCTCTATTTGTTACAGAATTTTCAATTTGTATAGCAATTTTCAATGTTCAGAAAATCGATAAATTCATTTGGAATGCTAAAAATCATAATATAAATTCATATAAAACCGAATTAAACAATTTTAAATTAGCCAATATAAATTATTTTCAATATATCAATCACAAATTAAATCCAATCCAATATCGAAACCAAAAATTATAAAGATATACGAAGAAACCTATTCTTTTTTCTCAAATATCAATTTTTAAATAGCTTCAAAAGCGATTTATATCACGTAATGATTCTCATCGCACCCTTCTTTCTTTCCAACATATTTTCTAACGTATCTCTTCTAACTTCTAAAAAGTTTTCCCAAGTTTGACCAGGTTTGCTTGTTACGTAGCAATACGTCTTTAAGACAAATTCCAAATGTTGCTTTTATCCACAACTTCTTTCTCTTTTATTCGACGAACCGACCCCCACATCTTACTTTTCCAACACTTTGATCCTTTTCCTCCTCCTCCCCTCCCCTCTCCCCCTCTCCTCCTCCAGCTAGAACACGTAACCATTTAAACTTGCCACAGTCAGTCTGGAACGAGGGAAAGATGTCTTCTTCGACGATTACACAAGTTAGTTCACCAAGTCAGTTTCTTTGGAGAGGAACGCCAAGGTAGTTTTATCGATTTTTAAACGTTATCTTGTAATTCGGTGGTAGCGCACCTGTGCTTAATGGCGTCCAACCCGACGTGGAATATCGCGCCGTTCACGAGCTTCCGCGTCTCTGGTGGGAAGAACTTTGACACTGGAACGTAAATATTCGTCAGCAACAGGTCTCTATGATATACGAAATACGAGGATCGAAGTACGAGAAACCGTTGTGTGCGATGCTCGAGTAAGTTTGACCAAAAGGGGATCAAGAATGTATCTTGTTATTTTCATGTCGTGGAACTCGAGAAACGATAAAAATCAACGAGGCGTATTTAAACAGTGTTTGGAAAGATTTTATTCAGTATGAATAAGTCGAGTATGAAAAAAAAAAAAAAATATATATTCGCGAAATTCAATACGAATTTTTTTGCTTAATAATAAAAAAAAAAAAAAAAAAAAAAAATTCCCGAAATTAAAAACAAATTTTTTTGTTTAAAAAAAAAAAAAAAAAAAAAAAATTCCCGAAATTAAAAACAAATTTTTTTGTTTAAAAAAAAAAAAAAAAAAAAAAAATTCCCGAAATTAAAAACAAATTTTTTTGTTTAAAAAAAAAAAAAAAAAAAAAAAAAGATGAATCCATATTGGAATTTATGAATTCGTAGCTTTCGATAGGGAATAGGATTGAACGAAGAAAGAATTTTAATGGTGAAAAAAAATTATCCATTAACCTTTTTTACGAATCGGTTAATGAAACGTGAATTCATATTGGAATTTGTAATTCGTGAATTTTATGTCGATGGGGAGAAATGGTGAGGTAGAGAAAGATCAAGATTATTGATCGATGAAAAAAAATTATTCATTAATTTTTTTATGAATAAAATATGAATTCATATTAAAATTTATAATTCGTGATTTTTACATTGATGGGAAATTAAAAAATATGGGGAATAAAAAAAAAGAGTCTTTTTTTTTTATAGCGGTCACTAATTTAATTTTTTTTCGGATTGCAAACGTATAAAAAAGGTTTGGTTTGGTTTTTGCCAAATGAATTTTTAAAGTGCTGTAATAGTTTTGATGTTTCAATTTTTTTTATTTTTTCTTAAACAATTTTTAAATTTTAAACGTGTGTTGCTTTATTATCAATTTATAATTATTGCATAATTATAAAATTTAAAAGTATATTATTTTTAAAATATTAATAAATTTATAATTATATAATATAATTATTATAA